CCCCCCCCACCCCCCTGCCCAAACCAGGGACCTGATGGCCATGGCTGAGGGCCTGAAGGAGGTGGTGCAGGAGAGCTACCAGGAGTACAGGCACAGGCAAGAGCAGGGCCTGAGGCTTCCCTGTTTAGAACTATAAAACACCAATTGAAAATTGGCATTGAGAGGCCACCAATAAAAAAATTGGCATTGAGAGGGCACCCATAAAAATTGGCATTGAGAGGTTGTCCTGCTTGAAAATGGTTAAAAGGGTCTAGGGGGGTGCAGGATGCCCCTGGGCTTCAGCGGGACACCACCTCTGCACAACCCAGGACTACTGGGGTCGCGCGGGGCTCGCTGCCGCAGCGGCCCACAAACTGCTGGCGCACCACTCTTCTGCCACCCCTGCTCCCGTGCTTTGTGACATCCATACGCAGTCGACCGACCCCACCGCCCCGCTTGCACCCCCGCAGCCAGATCGAGCTCCTGGCCGGCCTGCTGCGCGACGGCGGGGTGCCTATCGTGGAGCCGCCGGGCGGCCACGCCGTTTACGTCGACGCGGCGCGCTTCCTGCCCCACGTGCCCGGCCGCCAGTTCCCCGCCCAGGTGACCGCGTCGACTGCGCATCGAAGCGACGGCAGTGCATTTAAGCTCGGGGGGCTGTGCGCCGTTCCTTGCCATCCAACCCCCCTTGTCCCCGTGCTGTTACCGTGACAGCACGGGGACTGGGGCCGCCATGACAGCGGCCCCAGCACGAGCTGCTGTCCCACCCCTGCAGGCGGAGCTCGGGCCGGTTTGGCGCGGCGGCCTGGCGGGCGCCCGGCCCCTCTCTTTACAAACACAGCAGTGTATCCTCCCCCCATACACACTCTCGCTGTCCCCACGCATGCACGCGACAACTGCGAATGCGTGTACGCACGCACGCACGCATAAGCACACGCGCACGCACACGCACATGCACCCATCCCCTCCCCCCAAACACACCCTTCCAAACCTGTTCTTGCCCCCAGGCCCTCACCGCGGCGCTGTACACGGAATCAGGGGTGCGGGGCGTCGAGATTGGCAGCTCCTGCTTCGGCCACACCGACCCGGCGACCGGCGAGTTCGTGCCCGCACGGCTGGAGCTGCTGCGGCTCGCGGTCCCGCGTCGGGTCTACACAGACAACCACGTGAGACACTGCGGGGCGGTGGTTTAAAATACCAAAATTTTCTAGGGGGCCTCAAAGGCGATCGGGGCGTCCGTTGACGGCGTCGGCTCACGTTCTGGTCCTGCGTGCTGCCGCAAAGATGGCAGCCTCTTGCGTCAATGTTGCTGTTGAAACGGGGGGGGGGGGGGTGCCTGGCAAATTAGTGTGCTGTGGGGAGCCAGGCCTTGAGGCACAATTGCTCAGCTCTGTTTGTGCCTTGCCTGTTGCGCACTTTCAAGTGCAGCCTACCGAATTTGCCTGTCTGCACTCCCCCAATGCTGCCCCATCTCTCAACTCCTTCACACCCTTGGCCCCCCACCGCCTCTCGCATGCACAAGTTTCTCCGCCCCTGCTGACGCAACCCCCCATGGCGCGCCCGCAGATGCGCTACGTCGCCGCGGCATTGGTGCGCCTTTACCGCCGCCGCGAGTCCCTGGGCGGCCTGCGGCGCGTGTACGCCACCAAGCTTCTCTCCCACTTCACTGCGCGCTTTGAGCCCGCGGTCGCTGCGGCCACTGCGGCCGGCGGCCGCGGCGCGCCGGCCAATGGTGTGGAGGCAGGCGGCGTCGCGGCGCGCGCGCGGTCGGCCTTCGCGGGCGATGCCGAGGCTGAGCTGAAATGCGCGGAGGCGAACGGTGCTTGAATATAGCGCCGTTCCTCTTGCGGCGCGGCGGAGCAATGGCCTGCTCCCGCCCTCCCAACACTGCCTACTACACTGCACGCGCAGTCGCTGGGGCGTGTGGTTTGCGTGTTCCTGGGGTGGGCCGCGGGCGTCGCCGCTTGGGCCTGACTCCATCTGCTGTGGATTGTCAGCGGATTGATCCCGGTTTAGCGGCTTGTCGCTGTGCAGGGCGTCGGGCCTTGGCTCAGCTGGTTCGGCTAGAGAGTTGCATCCACCAAGCTTTTTAGGTTTTGATGGCGGCGAAACCTCGACCGCGAAAGCCTAGCTGCGCGCGACGCGCCGCCGAGGTGGAGGCTGTCGTGTGTGTGTGAACGGGCGTCTTTCCATCCGCAGCGGCGACCCGATCGCAAGGATGGCCGGGGGGCGTCGTTTGCCGTCGCGTTGCACGCAGCCATTAGGCTGGCGGCACTAAAATGCGGCAGAGTGCATGTTGGGGTGCTCTCACCCCTTGGCCCTGCTTTGACTTCACTTGCTCTTGCCGGGCAAGCATGTACATCATCAGGGGGCGCGAGCCCTGCAGTCAATCGCCACGAGGTTGGTGGTGATCACACTTGAGACCGTTATCATGTTGATTCCTGCCAGATTCATGTTTGGCAGGCCCTGTACTTGGATAACGCCTTCATGCGCTTTGCGCCCTCTCTTTGCCACCCCAAAACCACCACTCCGCCAGCACCAACCCCCACAATTGCATGCACCAACCCACGGGCTGCGACGCCCCGGGTGAGGACCGTACCCCCGCCGCCGCGTGCGCCGGCCGCTCAGCGACGCGCCGCGGGCGTGTGCCCGCCGGCGCTGGAATAGCAGCGGCCGGGCCTTGCGCGCGGCGGCGGGCGGGTGAGACGCTACCACTCATTGGAGCGCGCAATAAACGAGTGGCCCCCACCTTTGCTTCATCTGCAAGTGGGGCGCGCAACGTTCGCCCTTCTTTCCTTCCCTTTTGCACGCGCACCTGCCGGCCTGTCTATTCCCTTGCTACTTGGCACTGGTGGTGCTTGTGTTGACTGCATAGTAGGCGTTTGATGCAGCAGGCAGAAAGCGTCAGCCGCTGCATGCTCTGTTATTGATAAGGGCGGGCACACCACTTTGCCGCAATGCCTGCAGGTCACCAGCGAGCTCTCCAGCAGAACGGGCTGCTGCGGACAATTGGATGACTTTGCTTATGTGTAACAAGAGAAGGATTTCAAATGCCGCAAACAGTGTCACAGCCAGATGACCTTGCATGACATCACACAGCGTCTACTTTTACCGCTCGCGTTGCAGATCCCAGGCAGCTCTGGATGCTCTTGGGACCAGGTGGCAGCGCAGAGCCCTGTCGGTTGCTGGCAGGTTCACCCGAACTGCAGTCAACCCAATCAATACACAAGAGCCTGAGAAGGCACCAACGCAGAGCAAGGCCCGGGCAGCCGCATGCAGGAGCGTGTTGTGGTAAGGAGCCTAGGTCGACATCTGCACACATGCACGAAGCAAGAACATGAATATGCGCCAGCTACTGAAGCTTGCAGAAGCAAAGAAGCCATGCGGCATTCGACTGTTGGGTTCAATACCACTGCCGCCTCCGCTTCGCCGCGCCGCCGCGCACGCCGCATGCGCGCATGTGCTCCGCCTCCGCCTGCTTGCCACGCTCCACGAACAGGCCATCCCCCCAGTCGGCGCCCATCATGCCGCGCACCATGCCGCCAGCGAATGAGTCACTGTCTGTGTCCCCATACTACATAGCAGTGCAGGCATGGGTGTGCAGGTTGGTGTGCGTACAAAAATCTATATGTGTCTGCATGCACAGGTGCAGGAGCATGCACGCAAGCAGGCACGCACACACACACACACACACACTCATACATATACACACACACGTACACAAACACACAAACACACACAAACACACACTCTCTCTCTTGCCCACGTTCCCACACACTAAACAAGCACGCACATGCACGCACGCACACACTCGTACGCGCACACGCACAAACACACACACACACACACACACACACATTCTTACACACACAACCCTCATACGCACATGACAAGCTGCGAGCCATGTGCCCCATCCCGCTACTTACGTGAACAGTGAGCATCGGCCGCTTCCCACACAGCTGCCTGACCTTGGTGCCCCCCACCCTGCAGCGGGATTGGTCGGCAACGCATGCATGGGTTTGCCACTTGCGGGGTATCAATCAGCAACTGCAGGCGCCTCAAACCACGCAATGCTATTGCTTGCGCCACAGCAGCCTAGCAGCCTGCCTCCCCTGCAGAGGCCCCAAATTCAGACCACAAAGCATCAAGTGGTGCGCACGGGTCCACGGGCAATATAGCTCGTCGGCGCCTGCGCACCCGCTGTCTGTCAGATGGAGGGACTTGAGGTTGGGCAGCAGGCCGGGGTCCTTCTTGAGAGCCTCCAGGTCCTTGTCCTTGACGTTGCCTTTGACGTTGTGGTTGGTTTGAGTGGATCAAGCGTATGTGCAATCAAGTTTGATTGGGTTGTTTGTATATGTGTGTGTATGGGGGGTGAGATAACGTGTGTGCATGTTGAGAATAGAGGAAGAGCGGCAGAAACAAATAGTGAAAGAAGATATGATGGTGGTCGTGTGCATGCTGTTTTCGGTGTGTATTGACACATAATCTACATGCGTCTTGCATGAGAAAACATCGGCCCCATCACCGTTGGCACCAGAGATCCCAGGCTGACCCCAGTGTCTCACGTTCGCTGCTCCGCTCCGCGTCCACTCACACTGGGAGCGGTCGTGCCCCGTGAAATGCAGCTCCTCCAGACCCGACAGCGCCTTTGCGATGCTGCCAAACGCCTTGGGCCCCATGCCAGGGACACTCTCCAGCCGCAGGACCCGCAGGTCTGGGCTGCAGTATTGCGAGACCGCGGCGGTGGCCGCGTCGGTGAGGTGGGCGCCGTCGCCGGTGTCGCTGCAGCCGAGCTGCAGGGAGGTGAGCTGGGGGCCCACCGCCTTGAGCAGTGCTAGGATGTGCTGTGTGATAGTGGGGGCGGGCGGGGGCAGCGCACGCGTGCCACCGTATGTACAAGTGTTTTTGGTTGATTTGATTTGTGTGTGTGTATGTGTGTGGTGTGATTATATGTGGGCAAGGGGTGTATGTGGCTGTGAGGGGGCTCGATACGCGCGGATTCCGTCGCGACAGCATGCATTGCGGGCCCCCATCTGTCGCACACGACGCCATCCGCACAACCAGAGCACGCAGCACACAGGCGACTGCACATGCGTGTTGCAGTGCAAGGGCATACATGGTGGTTGCAAATGGGCGCGCACATAAACACACAGGCTACCACACTCACCTTGTCTCTGATGCCGAAATTACGGTCAAACGTGATAGAGCGCAGCGCCGCCATGTCCTTTGCCAGCAGTTCAGTCAGGCTCGCTGGGTCGCGGAGCGTCTCATGGTACCCCGCCACAGCTGCCGCCATGGCTGCTGCTGCTGCTGCTGCTGCTGCGTGGTGGCTGTTGGAGCCCAGAGGCAGGCGCAGCGCTGTTCGAACGACGAGCGCCGCCGCCGCTTCAAGACGTTGGCAAAGCAGGCGCTGGATACGCCGCACAACAAGATATCGCCGATTTCTCACCCTTGTTAACGCAAGCGACCAGCCAAAAACGCGGGCAGATCCGAGATCAACCGCGGGCGCGCGTTATTCCGAACCAAGTGACTTTGTATGGGTAAGATCGAGAACATCAACCGGAACGCGCATGTCTTGGTGATGTATTGGTTTGACTAGCATCGCTGAAAGTACCGTACCTGCTGGGGTGACTGGGCTCTGCTGGTGCCACTGCATACTTGTGGCCTGAATCCTAGCTAAATGCGGGCCACGTTGATTGTGTCATCACCGTGTGATTTGCGAATGCGGGCCGAGCACTAATTTGGTGGCCAGTTGGACACATCAGTCAAACATGTAACGAGGCCTGCAGGAGCGCCGATATTGTCCTGTACGCTTGTCGATAAATGCGACGCTTTTGCGTTACAATGAGGTCTCATCAATTGTACCTCAGCAAGAGGCGGCGGTTGATGGAGTTGGCATATCAGACGCATAAAGGAACGCAGCACTCATCGCCAAACGCACCAGCCAAGGCCCGCAGCCTGCAAGCCATCCTGCACCCACGCACGAACACGACCAGGTAGCGGCCTCCGCCCTCAAAACAGTGGCGTCACACGGCCGCAGATCGACGCAGCCTGCTACCCTACTTATGAGTCCGGCCGCTGACGCAGCTTTGCGAGCCGTCGGGCCTGAATGCTGCGCACACCCCTGTATGCAAAAGGTGCCCGGCACTCACACAAGGAGCTGCTGCCGCTCCCATAATAAAGCCCGCGTCTGCACGACCATGATAGTTTTGCTCTTCAAATGTACCACCCCCCACCCCAGAACACACAGCGGCTGCCATGTATGCTACACTCGCTGCTGCGCCATCCTCCCACGGCCCGAACCCACCAGAGCGAGGTGTGACTCGACGCCACAAAAACTGGGCAGCCGCAACTAAGAGCGGCGCCGGCTCAGGCCCAGGCCAAAGCCGCGACCCCACGCCAGCCGGTGACACGCAGCTGGACGCTGCCCTGGGCCAGGCGGCAGCTACGGACGGCACCGCCGGCGCAGCCGCCGCGCTTGGAGCGGCGCCAGGGGCTGATTGATGCAAGAACGAGCCTAGGCCTAGGCGGGCTCCTTGGACTCTGCCACCAGTGCCTCAACCTCATCCAGCGTCGGCTGCGCCCCGATTGCGCCCGGCCGCGTGCACGTGAGCGCGCCGGTCGCGGCGCCGAAGACGACGGCTTCCCGCAGCTTCGAGGGGTCGGCCGCCAGGCACTCGACGCCGCCAGCCTCCAGCAGCTGGGGTCCGGGGGGGGGGGGCATTGAGAGGTGCCCAGTGGAGGCGATCGGCAGAGGGAGGTTGGTATTGAGGGGAGGCGAAATAATCCATGCGGCTTGAGTGTGCATGTGTGAGTGTGTGTGCGTGTGCGCGCATGTGCATGTGTATTTGTGTGTGTGCGTGCGTGTGTGTGCGTGTGTGTGCATGCTTGTGCATGCGTTATGGCCGCCATTCGAGAGACAGCGAACGAAATAGCGTTGCGGCGCGGCTGTGCAAAAATCCGAGCTGGGGTTGCACGCAACAGATGGGTGACAGCCCCGAGCATCAAAACCCCCAACGGCGCGCTCCTCCTGCCCAGCTGGCCGGCGTGCTGCGCACGTGTTGAGGCGTACGCCACCCGCTCGCGGCGGCGGAGGGCAAGAGGGTGGTGGGTGGGCGCGGGCGCACCTTGTAAACAAAGCCGGCCGTGAACGCGTCGCCGGCGCCGGTGGTGTCCACGACGTCCACCTGCAAGCAATCGTGTAGGGCCCGCGGCCGCTCGGCGCGGTGCAGCTCTTTCTCGGGCCCGCGCGGCGGAGGGGCCGCCGGGCGTGCGGCCGCGCGAGCCCCGGCGCGGCCCCCGCGGGTGAGCGTGCCGCCGTGGCGACCCCTGGTCGCAAGGGTGGCAGCAGATCCCAGTACACCCTCATCCTCTCAGTCTAGCCCATCAGTCCAGCCGATCAGAGTTGCCATGCAGGCTGGTGCGTGTGCACGAGGCTAGGGCACACCTTGTAGACTTTGACAAACCCGGAGTGCTCGCCCTTGGAGGAGCGGAAGCAGTACGCGGCGCCCTCGTCGCCCGCGGTGACCAGGACGCCCAGCGCCGCCGGCAGCTTGTGGGCGACCTGGGGGTGGGGGAGGTTTGGATGAGGGCGGGGAATAGTTGGATGAGGGCAAGAGCATGCGTTGTGCCGACTGCAGGTTCGGTTGGGCGGGCAGGCACCAAAGGAGCGGGGCCGGCCAGCCCCCAACCGCCCCAGAACAGCCAAGGGCTGCCACACGTCGTCAAGCCGCCAAACAGAGAAGCCCGGGCGCTTGGCGCAGCCTGACAACCTGACAGCGTGCAGCGTGCAGTCCGCCAATCCGACAGTCAAACAGTCCGGCCAACGCACCGAGCAGGGGTCCTGGAGGGCCGCCTGGGGGTCCTGGCCGTAGAGATATTCCAGATCAGCGTCGCTGATCTTGACCAGATCCGCCAACTCCAGGAATTCCAAGATCACGGGCCGCGCCGCCTCGGCGTCGGGCCAGAAGACCGGGCGCCAATTGATGTCCACGAATACCTGGGGTCGTGAGGATTTTGAACAAATGGTGCTGGACAATTCATGGTGGTTGAACAGTAATTACAGGTCAGCGTGGGGGTGTTTAAAGCTCCCATGCTACCATGAGCTGCGGCGCATCATCACGCGCTGCTGCAGAGCGCCCCACAGCGGCCGCAGCAAGCCGCGCCGTCGGACATCGCCGCGCACCGCCCGATGCGCAGCTCGCGACACCGGGTGCGCGGCCGCCGTGAGTGCGGGCCCACCTTGCAGCCGGCCTCGCGTGCTGCGGCGGCGGCGGTCTCCATGGCGGCGCGCGTCTTGGGGCTGGCCAGGCCTAGGGTTCCTGTCACCAGCAGCTGCGCTGACTGTGCAGCGGGGGTTGGGCGGGGGCAAGTTGCTGTCGCGCGGCCCGGGATCCGAGGGGGGTGCGGCGAGGGCGCGCCTGCAAGGGCGTCCGAAGCCTGCATGTTCCCATTGCTACGCAGCACAGGTGCTGCTCACAGCCGCAGCTCTGCTGTCCCGTGACATGGGCAGCGACAGCGGGCGCGGACGCCCCTTCAGCCAGGGACACCCAGATACAATCGGGCTCGACGACAATGACTAAACCAAAAGCTCCGCGCTGTATGTACGGCCCACCCTGATTTTCTCCAGGGGCAGCTGCTCCGGGTCCAGCCGCGTGTCGCAGTACGCGTCGCTGTCCAGTCCGAAGCCCGCGAACTCTCTGTCGCCATCGGGGCGGCGCACGACGTAAACGTCGCGCGTCGGTGCGTCGGTCCGCTGCACGCCCGACACGTCCACCCCGCGGTCTGAGTCATGTGATTGGGATGGAGGGGGTGAGCTGAAGGAATGCGCCGCTGGGTGGGGCCGTGGGCTTGGGGCAGGAAAGGTGTGGCGGGTCGGCGGTTGCAGGAGGGTTGAGACGGCAGGCACGGGGCCTGGAGAGGAGCGCCGTCCGTTGTGCTGGGTAAGCCGAGAGGAGGCACGGGTGTTTGCGCGCTGCGCCCTGGGCGCGCTCCCTGCGCTTCTACGGGGCACGGGCATGCGCACGCACGTATCAACCCCAAACCCCTACCATTGGGACTCCTTTCCACCACCCCCGCCCGCGACCATTTTTTGGCACCACAAGTCTCTGCGGCTGGCCGCCGCTGTTCACGAATGGCTGACCCAGCTCGGGAACGCACCCGTGAGCAGCTCCACCATCCTGTCCCCCATCTCGTCGCTCCCCAGCGCCGAAATGAACGCCGTCCCGACCCCCAGCCGCCCCAGCGACGTCGCGACGTTGGCGGGGGCGCCGCCTGGATAGGGAGTCCAGGACTTGACCTCTTCCCTTGAGAGGCCCTTTTGGTCTGCCAGGTAGTCTGTGGTTGTGTGTGAATGTGTGTGCGTGCGTGCGTGTGTGTGTGTTCGTGTGTGTTCGTGTGTGTGTGTGTGTGTGTGTGTGTGTGTGTGTGTGTGTGTGTGTGTGTGTGTGTGTGTGTGTGTG